GATTCTTTCATGCAGGTTTGAGAAATCCTTTAATCTCCAAAGGTCATGTTGTTCAAAACACTTGAGTGGACGTTGCTCCGCCTTCTAGGATGAATGACCTGACTCTTACCTCTTCCAGAGTTCGCCTTCAATGTATCGGTGATCAAAGATGTTCCTCTGGACTTCCTCCACCAAAAACATGACCACCGCCCTGAAACAACAACAACAAAAAAACACTCATGGCAACACCGTCAGCTTCCATCATAAAAAATAAAGTTCTCTGACTAGAAAGATAACAACATAAACAGTTGAAACTGTTTGTTAACATGGAGTATTTAGCCGAAAGTGTTTGTGTGTTATATTGTATTATACTGTCCACTCTGGGGTTTGATCCGCTTTAACCACAGGATGCAAACAGTCAGCCTTAAAGTTGTCTTATTCTGATATCTGTGTGGGTTACCTATCTGATCCATACAGCTCCCAGGCTTTGGCCAGTCCTCTGGCCAGACCAGCTGCAGGGTTGTTGTCCAGGATTCGTTGACTCTCCTCCAGCCTCCCAGCCACCTTCAGGATGTGCCTGTGGAGCCGGAGGGAGGGAACCTTCTGTAGTCTTTACACAAGTTTTGAAGTTTTGTCCTCTTTTTCATTTTTAAACTGTTATTTTTTTGTCTTGATTAAACAATGGATTAATACATTCAAGCAGGAAATTTCTTTCAACAAAAATCAAAATTTTTGTTTCACACCAGTCACTTTAAAACAGGTTTCATTTTGTTACTTTAGTTTTGATTTGTTTCTTTTGTAGACATCTGTTCACATATTATTTTTTTGGTTGAGACATTGCTTTCTCCTCTACTCCAGCAGCTCTGCCCGGCTACAGTATGGATGAAAATGTATTATTTCCATCTTTGTTCTGTAAAAATACAAATCTGTGCAATCTTTTGCTGAACAACTTACTTGTGTACCTCTGGTGTTTGTGAGGAGAGGCCACCAAAGCTGGCAGCAATAGTATTGATCTCTATCTGCTTCAGAGAAGACGTTTGGTCCTCTCTCTGGTCCAACATGTAGTCAGAACGATTAAGACCCAACACGATGGACTGCAAAAAAGAAAAACAAGAAGCCCATATATATGAAGGTACTAATTGAGGTCCAGTGATGAACATTCAGTGCAAACAAAGCAAAAATCTTAAGTTATTAATACCATAAACGCAAAAGGTTCATGTCTTTTAAATTAAATAATGCAGAAAGAGCAGAGCTTCAGTATGTAAAATATTATGCATGTTCCAGGCACATTGTGCAATCTTATAGCACAATCAAGTAACTGTGTTACCTTCAGTTGTTATAAAATGCTATATATTAAAAATGACTGAAAATAGACTGTGTAATTTAACGCTTTGAAAGTGAACCTCCATCTCTCTAAAAACTCCTGCTCTTTCTGAAACTCCGCCTTCAGGAAGTTATCACAACATGGCTCCTCTATTAACCCTTTAACAACATTTCAGTGTTAACTGGAACTGTGGCTATAGGAGATTAAAGAATTTTTCAACCATCGATGAAAGAATCAAGGCAACACTCCAGTAATGTTTTTGATGAGGGAATGACATTATAACATGATGTAAAGCTCAAAATAGTCAATTTTACTGACCTTTAAAAAACCCATTAAAGCATCAGAGAACGTCTTAGCTCACCTCTTTGTTTTCAATAGGTTTTCAATAGAAATAACAAAAGTTTTGAGAATGGCACACATCTAGTTTTGCCATTTCAACATTTTTTAGTTTTTAAATTTTTCAGATGGCTTTCTTTGAATATACATGAAAATCAAATGTAGATTCAATATTTCCTCATTGAATTTTCTGCATAACATTTGGAATTCAAACTAGAGTACTTTATATTAACTTCTGGGTCATTCCTACTTTCAGAGAACTAACTAAAAAAAAGTTAGAGGATTGTTCTATCTGAAGGTCAAAATAGTGTTAAAACAGATTTTTAGTTCTAATCTAAAACAAACATTTTAAGCTAATGTTTGTAGCACACATCCAATCACTGTGACCACATTATGTAAACAATGTGAACTCTGACTGCATAAACTGAACAACATTTCAGTCACTGCAAAGACTTTTGCCCAGAACTGCTCATGTAAAGGTAACCGTACCTGAGATCTTCCTTCTTTTAGGATCTGCTGGTGGATCTTGAACAACCTGGCAGTGAAATCATCCACTTCTATTGTGCTGTAAACAAAAAACAAACTCTTAAAGTCCTGACCAGGTAGGAAAAACAACATATGAGGGACTGTATCTGACTACACTGGGTTTATAATAGCTTTGGATTTTTAATTATAGTTTTACTTCATTGTGCTTTTTTGTTTTCCTAATTCAGTTAGTTTAAATAATTTTTCAGAGTGGGTTTACTAGATTTATTAGCCAATATTAGTTAAATATTGTTTAGTTTTAATTAGTTATTGGAGTAGTTTTACTTTTTCATACTTTGGTCAAGTTTTAGGTGCAAAATTCAAAAAGGTCAAAATATTATATTATGATTATGAATACATCAATTGGGTAATGAATACAAAACAGAAGATCCTATTTTCAAAAAAAAATCTATTTAATTATTGTTGTCAACTGACTAGTGTTTTCTCACAGTCAACATCAATTTCAAAAGGCTATTAAAAACATATATATATTCTTCCATCCGTCCATCCATCCATTTTCTATACACCTTTGTCCCTTAGTGGGATCAGAAGGGATTATATACATTCTTATACACACAAAAATATATACTATAATTTTAGTTCCAGTTAGTTGTAATCTTTCCTAATTAATTTCTTTTATTTATTTCAGTTAAGGTCAATTTCAGTTTTTGTTATTGTGTTTGTTTTAGTTAATTATAATAACCTTGTTTCCTAGCATCACTTTGCACACAAAAACATATCCGTTCCATGAATTGCAGACGGTGCTGCTGCATCCTACCTGGCTAAAGCCTCCTGCAGGAAGTCAATATCCTGGCTGATCTTGTCCACCAACGTGTTGAAGTGTGTCTGAACCGAAAGAGCCTGAAGGAACACGGACTTGGGCACAGGCGAAGGGAAGAGAGTGAATGGAGCATATGTCACCAACTGCAAAAAAGTAGGGAAATGTAAGAAATATATGAAAAAAACACAATTACTGGGTCTGAGAGGAATTAACACAGAAAACTAATTGTGCTGAAGAGCATATTCCTGAGATGATTTCTTGGTCTAGGGCTGCACAGTGGCGCAGTTGGTAGAGCTGC